GGTATGTGGAAGGGGAAATGTCAACTCTTTGGCGACATATCCTGTCCCCAACTCCTGCAAAGAGCTCACTGTGGAGTTACTGGTTCATGAGTGGGGAGGGTGGAAATGGGTTTGCTATTTGCATCATCTCTTCCTATTTCCCGTGGGAACCACTATGAAATCCACTGTCAAATAAATGTTGATGCTAAATTTGAATTAGATTCTTGTAGGGAGCCCCTTTCACTCTGTGAAACCTTCCTTTAGAAGAAGTCTCCTAAGGCAGCTTCAAACATGGGAAGCCCTGACAGCCACAGCTCCACTTGAAAACTGCAGAAGCACAAGATCCCGTGCATGGACAGCTCTGTTCTCTGATTACACAGATCATCTGGAATCCAGAAACTCCTTTGGCCAGCCCTCCTGTTTTTGTTTAGGGATGAAAAATCCATATCTCTTCCCTATCCCCAAGAAAATGGTCTGGAGTCTTTTAGTGGGCATTCCCATGGTGGGAAATGATCTGATCCCTGTCAGTGGGAACTCACTCTTATATGACAGTTGGCCTGTGAGGTTAAAGCCTGTCTGCAATTTGTTTAAAGACACAGAAGAGTAATGTAATATGGCCAATAATATTTGTGCCTTTACAGAAGAAATAATTCCCTGGCCTCTTTGTGTTGCAATTTGAGAGGCAGATTTTATTTTTCAAAGATGATTTTGCAGTTCATTAATCCACACATAAAACAGAGCCCTTTAAGTGTTTAACAGTATTAGGTAAGATGAAGATTGAGGGGGTATTTGATAGCAGCCTTCATCTTCCTGAAGGGAGGTTCCAAAGAGGATGGAGAGAGACTGTTCTCAGTAATGACAGAAGGTAGAACAAGGAGCAATTGTCTTTGTTGAAGCACCGGAATGGGTTACCTAGGGAAGTGGTGGAATCTCCATCCCTAGAGGTTTTTAAGTCTCAGCTTGACAAAGTCCTGGCTGAGATGATTTAGTTGGGGTTAGTCCTGCTTTGGGCTCGACCTCCTGAGGTCTCATCCAGCCCTATGATTCTATGCTTCTAGGAAGATTGATTTAAACTATCTGGTGTATGTGTGCAGAAAATAATATCCGCAAATATATCTTGTCTATTTTGGAGATAATGAATAAGGCTGTACTGCTTTAATGGTTGCCAGCGATCTCTCACAGAAAACAGTAAACAGTTTTGTTGTGAACAATATAAAATTTCAGTGAAAATTGTAGAATTCCAACTTCCTCTCTTAATTCTTCTCCACTCCAGATTTTTCTAATAGTTCCTAATCCTTTCCTCTATTATTAACTTCTTTAAGTGTTAAGCTCTGAATGTATGTATTCGTGTATAACTTTTGTCTCCATCACGGTGCTTTGCACCTACATTGCAACATCGTACTTATTCTCTATTTATGTAAGACCGTAAAGCATGCACAATATTTTACAACTTGTCAGCATGCCATACAAAGAACATCATCCCTGTTCTAAGATACTCATGGGCTACAGGCACAAATGAGAAATAGGAGGTTTCTTAAATGAAAATATAAGAAAAGCCTGCACTGAGATCTCCTGATGCAGTTTCAAAGCTAAAAGACGGGGCCCATTCTGTTCATTACAATAAAAGTGAAAGTTGCTAGTGGTAAGCTCTACTTGGTCTAGGTGTAGGTAAATAAAAGGAAAAACCTCTAGATTACAAATCCTCTTCTCTCCCCCTAGAATGTTCATAACTGTCCAGCATAACAGTAAAACTACCCTTTTAAACTAGAGCTCAAAGCACACTGAAATTGTCTTGAAAATGTGAGTGTGTGTGTGTGTGTGTGTGTGTGTGTGTGTGTGTGTGTGTGTGTGTGTGTGTGTGTGTAAACAGTGAGACAAAACTCGTTCAGTACTTAGCATATTTGTGGCATGGTTATGATACTAAATTGAATAAAGGTAACTTTAGAAAACATTGTTGTGCATAGGGTTGCCAGGTGTCCGGTACTGGCCCGGACAGTTCGGTATTTGCGGCCTCTGTCCGATTTAAAAAAAAACAAAACAGAAAATACTGGACATTTTTTCTGTTTTTCTCAGATGGAAGGCCACTTGGGACAACAGTCCCCTGCCACATCTGTCTGGGACAGGGGGAGTGAGGGGATTTAAAGGCGCAGTGCCTTTTTTTTTCTGAAAATATCTGGCAACTCTAGTTGTTCATTACAAACTCCACTTGTTTTGTTCTAATCTGAATCCTTTTTAGTGAGCATAAAAGGCAATCTCTATAAAAAGTAACATAATAAAAAAGCAGGATTTTTAGTATTCTGTAATGGGAGTCAAATTATCACTGCTGTAGCTTGAAAATGGCTGTATTGTTTTTTCTCAGTGACCTAGAGGGCAGAGCTGTGTAAAAACTGTTTATTGCAACCTGTTTTCAGATTTAATGATCATTGTTTGTTCACAGATTTCTTACAATGTGTTCTGTCCTGTAAGAACAGAAGATATATTCCCTGATCCATGGATAATCGCCTGCAAATATTTACTGTCAAGCATATTGACACAATAGTTCTCTATTTTATGTCTATAATCCAGAATTTTAGTGTGGTCAGACATGAATGCTAAGTCTTAAATTGGCTGCTGCAATAGTGATCATTAGTCAGTTTAAATGAGGGAAAATCATGTTCAAACTTGCACCAACACAATCTGTTAGCTGACATGGTGCTGAACGTGGCGTATATTGCCAGTCAGTTGTGGTCAGCACTGTGTCAAGAAACTCACACTTCGCAGTAAAATTTTATGTCTCATCAACATCTATAGGGCTAATGTCATTGAGCACCCTTCTGAAAATGCCCTATAGAATTTTGAAGAATACCAGTGTATTTATTAAGAAATCTAATGGACTCTTATAAAGACTACTCTAAATATCTATAGAATTGACAACAATAGTGTTTCTAGAAGTTTTTTTAACTTGTAGCATTCTATAGCAGGAAAATATTTTTCTATTAAATTTTATAGGATGATTCAAAACCTTGAACTTAAGGGTTTTTTTTTTCTATTAAACTCAACAGAACTTCCAAAAGGACACTAGCTAAGCACTAAATGTTTCCAAGAATGGGCCCTATATTGTTAACTGTTTGGAGGGAAAAGTTCTGCCAAGAGTGCAAGGCAATCAAATCTAGCAACACTCCGCTTAGAGGTGACTGAAATATCATAAGAAAATGGCTGTCATTATTTTGGCATGGATGTCCTTTTTCTAGATACATCCTGACCGTTTAGCCAAATTATTCCAGCTAAACAATTTTATAAAACAACGGACCCTTTCTAGAGTGAACTTATCAGTTGCTCTTGTGTATTTGTCATTTAGTTGTTTAGATGAGACCTAAGAACATTTTAGTGACTATATGATAGCTTAGAAGGTTCTGAAATAGCTTTCTCACTTGTCTGCTAGGAAGGAAGGCGTACATATCAGAGGACTTAATGATTTGGCATATACACCATTGAGAGCTCTTTGTTTTGGGGACTTTTTTCATGCAAGTCTAGAAGTGCGTCTTAATTAGAAAAAAATCCAATTAAGAATAGGCCAAGTTATTCCCCTCCACTGGAAAGAGTATTTTATTGCAGTAATAGTCCTTGTGAATTATTTATTAGTTTTATTTGCTTCTATTCTATTAACATCTGTTACACATGTGAGATCATCATTGTCACTGACTTCTCTAAGAATCATTTTTATACAAAACAAAGACAAAAACATTCACTAGAATGCTGGCTTCTTTGACTGCAAGACAGTTGATTGCCAATATGGGGGTGCACTCATGTTTGTCTGCAGAGTCCAAACAGCAATCGTATTAATGTTGATGAAGGTGGGAGTCACGCTTGTGCTTACACTAAACCTGGCTTTTTTAACAAGTTATCTTGATTTTCTTCAGTATAATGTAAATGATAAGAATGCATGTATAAAAACTTACTTGTCCAGCTTTTGGTTGCCAGAAATTTGTTATTTCTCTACACATCTATGCATTTCTCTTCTATTTAGGCAAAACCCTGTTTTTCTGAAGAATTTTATTCTGACTACCATGCAAAAAAAGAGAAAAAGCTATTTTTCATAAAGTTTCTTTTATTGGATGGGCTGGACATTCCCCATGAGTTACACTATATAGGCCCAAAGGAATAATGGCTTCCTTGAAACAAGTAGATTAGGGACATTTTAAATATTAATCAAACACTGCTCCTTCTCAACTCCAACCTCTTAGTTTCTCTGCCTGTAACCTTGGCATAATTCTTCATGCTGAACTGTTCTCCTTAATTTTGAATTTTTATGAATCTGCCTTAATGACAGTGGAAACACCATTGCTATAAAAATCATCTACTACTTTGTCTCACACTGGAATATTGCAGGTACCCTCAGTATTGAATAAATGGAACCCGGGGAAGCAAACTTCATATGTACAATGCTTTTGCTTGCCTTCTTGCATGTACACAGAATATTTTATCCTCAAATTCCTTTGCTACTATTCCTCTCTGAACCCAGTTCAAAACTGTATAAGTATTTCCCATGCGAGCTTCACTTTAAACTACTTCTTACTCCCCTGGGTCTCTTAGCACCCAATTTCAGACCCTCCATGCAATCTCCCTGTTTTGGGGTCACCATCTTTCTGCTGGTCTTGCTATTTGGAAGTGTCTACTTGTATCTCATCACCTCATTAGCACTTCCAAACTTTTCATAACTATCTGGAAATATAACTTTTCACCTTTGTATCTTTTGATCTCTTGGTCTCTCTCATTTTTCTGTAATATATTTATTTTTTAACTTTGTCATGAACCTACTTAATTATGAAATATATTTCAGGACATGGCTTGTATGAAAAATGCTACAAATTACAGTTAAATAAGTATAGTGCTGAAATGATCATCAAATAGTGTAGAGCGTTAATAACTTTTTTGTCAAATATCAAAATGTAATTCATTTAATTGAATGTTATTTTTAAGTGAAAATCATTATATGATACATTCTACTTATAGAAGTGACCTTTTTCTCCGTTCTTCCCTAGTCCAAGGTATATACTCGCACACCAACATTATATCTGGATTTCAAGCTGGACAAAGGAGCTAAGCACATTCAGCCAGTTCCAAAAGGTAGGAAAAGATTTTATTGGTCGGTTTAATAAAGAAATTGAAGACACTTCTCCTGTAAAGGGTTGGGTATGAATCTCTGTATCTTTGTATCATTATGTGCAAAATATTCCCCTTATGGAGTGGTCTGTAGCCGCAGAGTTTAAAAATTTAAATATAGCAGTTAGTTACCTGTGGCCAAATTTTGCCCCTGAATACAGGGGCATAATTCTCATTGATGTGAGTATTGTCCATGTATCCAGGGCTGAAGATCCTTCCCTGTAGCTGAATAAAATATTATATCGTCAAATTCTAGTGTCTGAAAACCATTAATAAGTGGGAGATGTAAAACTAGTCCAATTAATGTGATTTTGGGAGACTGGTTTGCGGAAAGGGATGTACCTGGTTTGGATCCACAAGTTGATAGTGACTAAAAATCAATACCTCCCTCACCTGCTTATTGGCTTGAGTAAAAGGATTGGTGCTCTCGGATTTGGGGTCTAATTAGGGTTGCCAGCCCATCAGAATACGCCTGGAGTCTCCTGAAATCGGCATTAATGTCCCTGTGACTACTGAAAGCAGTCCAGGAGATTTCAATGGGATATTTTAATAAAATGACATTACATCATGTTAGAAAAAAATCCCCTGTAATAGCTGCAGTCAGAGTTGGTAAACCTAGTCAGGGGTTCACATCACAGTATGCACTGTAGTATCTTTATTGCTTGTTCTCAGTGGAGAAATTTAATAGAACAGTAGGAAGAGGACTAACCTACTCTTTACCTTTGACAGTGGTTTCACTGCATTGAGGTTGAACTACCGGAAAGAAAATTTGCACATATCTGCCTGCATTATGCCTTGCCTGTGGATAAATAGGCCCTTCGCTCATTGTTCCACTCTAGGTTCAGTGGCTCTTCCTTCACAGAGAGGCTGGGCCTTCCATTATTTTGGTGTACTGTGCACATCAATCCCAGTCATTGGAAAGTCTCAGCACTAAATTCACTTCAGTTGGGAACAGTTAAGAAAATGAAAACAAAACCAAGCTAATAAACAACTTAAAGTTCATTTGTTAGTTCCTTGTATTGGCCTGTGAGAAGCCATTTCAAATGTCATCAGGAATCAGCCATTTTACTAATTTGAGAGTTGGACAAATGGTAAAATATTATTAAAGCTCAGACAACTTAATCCACACCATTTATTTGTAGTATTTCAAATATTGTTGTCTCACCATTTACTTGGATGTACATTTTAATATAGATTTTGTATATTTGTTAATTAACAGACTACACTCTTGATGTTCTATAGCAAATACTAATACAATGTGGAAGATTTCCCACTAAATCTACTGTAAAGTAGTAAGGAAACAGTCTAATAAATATGGGATATTAATGTATAGCTACTTCTCTAAAGTGGCTGTTAATGTATTTACATCCCGTTTCCAGTTTTTCTTTTGATTGTCCCATTGATCCCTTCAGAGTAGGCACATCTAAGAGTTAAGCAGCAAGTCAGTTACATTGTTTTCTCAGAAAACAGATGTGTGTGCAGAATATTTTTACAATAGCAGATGAAGTATGTCTATAAAATTTTAACCATCACATTCCATGTCACTTGCAAAGAATCTAGGGTCCAGTTCTGTAACCATGTGGTGTTTAACCATTCCTCTCATGAACAGTCTCAGTAAATTCAGCAGGGCTGCTCGTGTGTTTAAAGGTTGGCAGGATTGGGCTCATAATTAGCAAAATCTCCAACATAACCAAATTCCTTCACATTTGTAACACATTTTTGATTGTTAGCTCAAGAAAAAAGAATTCAGTGTTGTTCATCGCTGTAACAGTTCTGAAGTACAGGCAGTCCCCGGGTTACGTACAAAATCTGTATGTAAGTCGGACCGGGCTTCCAGATTCAGCCACTGCTGAAACTGACCAGCGGCTGACTACAGGAAGCCCGAGGCAGAGTTGTTCTGCCCCGGGCTTCCTGGAATCAGCCGCTGATCAGTTTCAACAGGCTGAATCTGGACGCCAGTTCCGACTTACATACAGATTCAACTTAAGAACCCCAGGCGTCCCCAAGTCAGCTGCTACCCCCCAGCAGACCAGGGAGACGCGGAGCAGCTTTTCTCGCCCCGGAGGACGCGGGCGGCGGGACCGCGGCGCATCTGGGCGTCCCACCGCTCCCGTCCTCCGGGGCGAGAAAAACCCCGTTCATAACTGCAGATCCGATGTAAGTCAGATCCACGTAACTCGGGGACTGCCTGTATTGCATAACAAATTGATTTTACTTTTAGTAAAACAATGCAGAATTTTTTGTTGTTTTCACATTTACCAGAGGAAAAAATGATCTTGGGATTTATGCTACACATAACAGAAAAACAAATTATCTTTTTACAGATTTTTCACAGGTTTCAGCACATATAGGCCAAAAACAACAGGGGAACAGATAGTGTAGGAGCCAAACCTGATTAGCAAGGTAAGCATGAAAGAAGTAGATTAGACATGGGGCAAATATGTTATCATGGAGGAGAAGACAGATGAATTTAGCAGTTGCAAGCCATACTCTTGGGCAGTGTTAGTGAAGCGTCAGACCTTTGTGTGGGAGTTTACCAGAGATGTGGTACTCTGAAACATGCATTGTCTATCATTTAAAAATGTTAGACTTTCAGTAGGAGACAGAAGGATATTGGAATACATCAGTGGCTTTCACACTTTTTTTTCCCCCATGACCAAGTTGAAGAAAATTGTTAATGCCCCTGACCCAACATCATTTGAATAAAGTGTGGGCTCCAAGGTGGGCTGAGGACAAGAGCTTTGGGCTGTAGTAGGGAACTCAGGCTTTGGTGGCGATGTCAAGACTGGGGCAGGAGGAGCTTACCTCGAGCAGCTCCCGTCAGCGATGCAGTGGCAGTGCTAAGGCAGGTTTCCTGCCTATCCTGGCACTGCAGACTATGCTGCGCCCCAGAACCAGCTAGCATCAGGTTCCCAGCCAATGGGAGTAGGAAGCTAGTGCTCAGGGCAGGGGGAGTGTGTGGAGTCCTATGCACTCTTCCACCCCCTCTCCCAGGAGCCAGGCCTGCTGCTGGCCACTTCTGGGGCATAGCACAGTCTGCAGTGCTAGGACGTGCAGAAGCCTGCCTTAGCACCCCCACTGGTCACTTGATCCCCATGTAGCAACGAGACCTAGTGCCTGTCATTGCAAACCCCTAGTTTGAAAACCACTGGAATACACCCCTCTTTTTCAAGCAATATGTTTTGTAAAAGTGATGCAGAAAAAACAGAAGGGAAATGGCTAAAGGAAGGAATTAGGGATTTGGAATGCACAGAGAAAAGAGATGAAAGATACTTGACAATTTAGAAGACCTGGAGCACCAAAAATAGACTTTTGGTTTATTCTAATATACAGGGGTCGACAAATTATGGAAAACCCTACTTGCCATACAAAAAAGGGACTCGCCACCCTCCCCCACAAAAAGTGGTTTTTTTAATGGCATAAATTCCTAATAAGAATAAGAACAGTAATTACTAATAAGTTATTAATAAATATCTTATGAACCTCTACCTTTTCTCTCTGCTGCCATGTCTCCTCCCCTTGCTCCATCAGCTCCCCAGGTGCCTCCTGCCCCCCAACCCCTCACCCTCTGCTGTTCTGACTCCTGCCTTTCTCACTGCCCTCAGCCCTCCTGAGACCTGCCCCCCTCCACTAGCCCTTCTCTCCGCCCTGTGCCCACTTCTCTAGTAGCCCCACTCTGATCGTGTGAGCTACCCCTCCTCATCCCCTCTCCTAAAACCTCCCTCTACACACCTGCCCTGCCTCTCTCCTCTGGTGCTGGTCCCTCCCCTGAAGGTGTCTGCCCTTCTGCTTCTCCCCCAGAATCCCTTGGCACCTGCACCTTCCTGGTGCCTCCCACTTCCCTCACTGCCTCTGCCCCCTTTGCTCTCTTTTTCCCTGATACCCACCCCCTCACCACCCTCTGCCCCCGTTCCCTTCATGCCCCTGTGCCCTCACAGTTGCCTTTCTCCATCACTGCCTTCCTCATGCCCACCCCTTCTTTCAAGCCTTCTCCCAGCACCTCCTCCTCCCCCTGTAGCCCCCAGTGCCCTTACCCTCTCCTCTCCCAGCATCACCCTGTCCCCCCTCCCACTGACACCTCCCCTCGTGCCCTTTTCCTCATTGTCTGCACTTGGCCCCCTGGCATTTGTCTCTCCTGCACCCCTGTCCCTTGGTGCCTTCCCCTTTCTTCTTCTTATTCTTCTCCTGACCTCCTCCCCTCTGGGATCGGGGGGGAGCAGGGTGCAGGGTGTAAGGGCGGTGCAGAGCCAAAGGGTTGCAGGGAAGAGGGAGAGCAGGGGGTCCAGGGTGCTTCTTAAATAAAAAAATGTTAAGCCGATCATGGTAACCCAAGCCAGGCCTGTGCACCTGAAGATGTGACAGTATTTTGGCTGGGGGCAATGCCAGTTCACAAAGTGCCAGATAACAAAGATTTCAAAGGTAACAAAGATTTGCTCAACTGCACTTCTGGAGAGCCTCTGTCACACTGAAGTACATGAGATTTGCTCAACTGCACTTCTGGAGAGCCTCTGTCACACTGAACCTCTGTCACACTGCCTTTTATACCTGAACATCGATACACGAAGATTTAATTTATCTTCGTTTGTTTTCTCCTTCATAACTGACTTTTTTTCCTGCCTCAGTCCCTAGCGATGTCACAAAATTCACTCCCTCTTCAACAGAGTATGATGTCACATACACTGTATTATTGTTTCAATTATATTAATCCAGTCTGTTCTTCAGAGTAAAAAATTGTGGAGGGGAAATTAGTTAAAAATTTCTGTGACAAAACTGGGTATGGCCATTTGTGGCTTTTTTGAGGATTGAGATGAGTATGAAGTGCTTTACAGCTCAGAAAAGCTGCTTTCATGCGGAGGGCACTAGTGCAGCTTTGTCTAGATTCATTGCCAGTTTTCCAACGGTGGGAAAGCTAGTAGCTAATATACCCTAGCACTCATGATAATGTCATTGATGGAAGAGCTCTA